TCCCGTCACTTCGTCTCTGAATGATGCCGTCATTTCATGACTCAAATATATTTGCTTGTGGTGTGACTGCTTCCATTTCCAGAAGGCGCAAAATATAATTCCCCATAACTATGTTGAGAAGTTGTTTGTTTTTTTGTTGTTTTTTTTAAAATAACTTAGCTGCGTTTGGTGCGTATTTTGTTTTTGTTTCGGAAAATAAAATCGTCTCAATTTAAATATGGTGTAATAAATATTCGGTTTAAAAGTGGTTGCGACATCAGGATATTAATATAGTTCATTGGCGAAATAAAAAGTGTGCAGTGACGTATCATTGGAGGAAAGGGGTGTAGCAAAAATTAGGATTCTTAAATGTGCGTTACTTAAGGTCATGTTTTGTCAAGTAACTATCGTAGCTTGGAAGTTCACGCATTGCTGTCGCCAATGTTTGGGGAGCTGTAACTAGTCTATGAATAAAGCTGTAATTTCATCTCTCAATAATCCCTTCATCATTGGATACGTTTTATAGTTAAAATTCGATCTCTTCCCTGTTTATTTATGTTTCATTTTTGTTTGAATAAATTATTTTTCTAAATCTATTGGTTGCAAAGTTATAAGATTAGAATTTCATGCACAATTATGAAATAATTATTCCACGTATAATTATGAGATGTCCTTGGATAATTATTAGTTAAAAAGCCCATGCAGTTTCTTTGACAGTAACTTTTTTTGATATATGGCAATTAATAAATATTTATTGTTAAAATAAGGAAATTACTACAATAAAAAAATAGCTCAACATTTAACACAAGAATTTCTTATATATTCAGAGATATCTTAACATCAGTTACTCACCTCAAAGTCTTGCGCAATTTGACAACCTCTTGTACCCAACGGTTCTCATAAGCCTGTTATGTGCATTCGCTACAGCTTATTTACTTTCTGGCCGCTCTCGCCAACAGCCACCAGGCCCCTGGGCCAGGTAAGTTTATACAGCTTAAAACCGCATTATATACCGTATGAGCTTAGACTTCGAATTTGGAAACACGTTGAACTCTGGCTGATATACATCAAAGATTCTGACTCAATGCCATTTAATTCTTACAGCAATCTTATAAACAAAGTGCAAAACAAAGATGAGTCATGTTTTCGGGAAGAGAATGAGAAAACTTTCTCTCTCGCATGTTTTAAATAAATCATGTCGGAAGTAAAGAATAGTTGTTGACATAGCTTCCTTTGGTTTGTAATAGTATTTTCTGTGTCTGCCCCACGCCCCCAAAACCTTCGGCTCTTTGAGCAATTAACCCCGCACTGAAACATACAGAAAAACAAGCGTCCACATTTTGACTTTAGGCTCTACAGGAAGTTGTATGTGAGTTGTTTGTGTTTTACATGCAAAGATGACTATTGCTATATTCGATGGTCAGTGTATTCAGGGGCGGCGCTTGAGATGACCAACGCTATATTCAATGGTCAGTGTACAGACGGCGCATGAGATGACCAACGCTATATTCGATGTTCAGTGTACAGATGGCGCATGATATGACACACGCTAGTTTCTATGGTCAGTATACAGACGACGTATGAGATGACCAACGCTAATTTCGATGGTCAGTGTACACACGATGCATGAGATTACAAACGCTATATTCGATGGTCAGTATACAGACGTTGCATGAGATGACCAACGCTAGTTTCGATAGTAAGTGTACAGACGGCACATGATATGAAACTGCTATATTCGATGGTCAGTATACAGATGGCGAGTGCTATGACAAACGCTAGTTTCGATGGTCAGTATACAGACGGCGCATCAGATGACAAACGCTATCTTTGTAGATCAGTGTACTTGTGGCTTATGAGTCCTATTTTCACTTGGGATGTTTTACCGCGTGTAGGAAACACGCGTTTTGGGGACCAAGAGGCATTTAGGTCAACGCTTCTTTTTCTTACCCTGCACTTTCTTTTGGCGTGACCCAAGTGTTAACTCTCCAAAGAGTGTGTTCCAAAAGTTAGTCTGCCTCGTCAAAATAATGTAGATTTAAACAAGGATGAATTTGAGACTTATTTTACATGATAATGAGTTATTTGTAGTCACGTCTAAGGAAACAATTATTGAAAACTGTAAACTTCACGGGACACGCTTCATAATAAAGTTTTGAATCGATAAACACACACGTACACACACGAACACATACACGAAAACACACACAAACACACAAAGAATCCATGAAATTAGAATTTAAATGATAATTTACTTGCATCTAACTGAAAATGTCCGAAAGTTTTCTTAACACAAGCGGCAACGTTTGGATTGAACAGAAACACAACATCGCTAGGACATTGCGGAGCCTGTCTGCCTCTGGTGGACTCTTGGAACAGTACATTAAGTCAACCGTAAACACATTAACAGACCATTTACAGTCTGTGATACAGAAGGGAGAGGGTGGACAAATGCACCTGACCCTCGTTGTGAGGTGGTCAGTTTTCTTTGTCGCCTTCTCTGTGGCGTACGGTCGTCACCTTGATCTCGATTCCGAGTTGCTGGTCAAGTACACCGACACCCTGGAACAGTGTCTGAGGTAATCAATGATAGAAAATAACTGATGTTGTAAGGATTGACACTTGCATGACGTTTTAAGATTGATGATTCCATGATGTTGTAAGGTTTGAACCTTTCATGGTGATGAATTTCTGACACTCCCATGACGTTGTAAAGTTTGACACTTCCTTAATCTTGTAAGTTTGAGTCTTCTATGATGTTTTTTTTTACACTTATATGATGGTGTACGATTGGACACTTCCATGATGTTGAAATGCTTGACACTCCCATAAGGTTGAAAGGTGTTACACTCCCATGTTGTTGTAAGGTTAGACACTCCAGTGATGTTGTAAGGTTTGCCACTCCCATAATATGTTAAGATTTTACACTCACATAATGTGTTAAGGTTTACACTCCCATAATGTGTTAAGGTTTGACACTCCCGTAATGTTGTAAGATTTACCACTCTCATGATGTGTTAATTTTTAACCCTTCCATAATGTTGTAATGTGTGACACTCTCATGAATGTTTTAATGTTGAACATTTCCTTGATTTTTAAAGTTAGACACTTCGCAGATGTTATAAGGTTTGACGCTTCCTTGATCTTGTATGTTTTGACACTACAATGATGTAAGGTTAGACACTCCCATGATGTTGTAATGTTAGACGCTCCCATGGTGTTGTAATGTTAGACGCACCCATGATGTTGTAAGGTTAGACACTCCCATGATGTTGTAAGGTTAGACACTCCCATGATTTTACACATTTCTTCAATAATAAATATGTTAACAACAATTTCCTATTTTTGTTGCTCAAAGCTTTCATTTTTCTCCATTTTAAGCTCTTGGAAACTTTGCTTCTAAGATAATTTTTTTCAATTGCTAAGCATTAATACTTGTTTTTCAAAATAACAAATGTTTGCTGTTAAAATTCATAATTTGACAAAGTCAAGCTTTTACCTCGCAGTTGTTTGAACCTGGATGTCATGACAACATTCATTCCTTACATTCACCTCCACGCCAATGACCCGGTAGGGTAAAGGAAATGTAAGCAGTTGGCAGCGGTCATTGAGATGGACTTTGTAAGGCCAGAATTGGAGAGACTCGCCCAGGTATATTAACATCTTAAAATTACGACCATGATTGTTCTAAACTGTACAACGCCATNTTTACCTCGCAGTTGTTTGAACCTGGATGTCATGACAACATTCATTCCTTACATTCACCTCCACGCCAATGACCCGGTAGGGTAAAGGAAATGTAAGCAGTTGGCAGCGGTCATTGAGATGGACTTTGTAAGGCCAGAATTGGAGAGACTCGCCCAGGTATATTAACATCTTAAAATTACGACCATGATTGTTCTAAACTGTACAACGCCATCAAATCGAGAGAATCTAGCCTCTGCATCAACTACAGTGCATCGATGTTTGAACACAACCACAGGGGGTCGATATTTGAACACAATGCCCCGATCAGGTGCAAAAAGAAACAGTAATTTGATAGAATTTAAATCGAAAACTGAATCCTTTTTTTTATCATATTGGGATTAAAGTCCAATAATTTTTTTTTATTTGAAAAGTGAATTCAAGTTAGCCAGCTTGTCATTTGTTTATCAAGTGTTAACAAATTCGCCTAAAGTTGTACTCCGATTCAAAACTCGTCTGGTTGGGGGGGGATCTGTTGCATTTTGAAATGCCAGAACACAAACTGAAATTGTATGCGCATGAAGATGTTCATACACACGGGCCTGATGAGCCATAAACATTTCTTAGATGAATAAAAAAAATAGAGGTTATTCTTTTTACTTTCCAAATATCCTAACTAAGACGTCACCCGTAGTTCGTGGGTTGATTTACACCAGCAGATATACATACATCATCCAGATTACTGTTTAATTATAGAATATATATTGTGGCCAGTTAAATACGTTCTAAAATAATATTCTCCTCCTTTATATAAATAACTGTGGGCTGGTTTCCCCAAGCTATTATTACAGAATATATCTATGGGTTGATTTCACATTGCCGTTATAGAAGTAGTTAAATCTAGGCTAGTAATCCTAAAGCTGCGATTGCAGAATTTATCAATAGGTTCACTTCCTATTGTCCATATGGGAGTACTTAACTGTGTAATAATTGCTATCCCATTTGCCCATATGGCAGTAGTTAACTTTATACTAGGTTTCCTAGCTATTATTACAGAATATATGAATATGTCATCTTCCGATTACCCATATGGCAGTAGTTAACTGTAGACTAATTGCCCTAGCTATTATTACAGAATATACCAAGATGTATATTTCCCATAGCCCATATGGCGGTAGTTAACTTCGGAGTAGTTATCCTAGCAATCATTACAGAATATATGAATATGTCAATTTTCCTTTCCCCATATATCAGTAGTAAACTGTTACCAGTACCTTCGTACCAAAGGACTACATATAAAATCAAATTGTCAAGTCTGCTATCATTTTTATCCCCCAGGTAAAAGAATGTGCCCAGGAGTTAGTATTGCCAAGAAAGAATTGCTCGGCTTGACTGTTGGGCTTCTCTCAAAGTTCCACTTCAGTGCCCCGGTGGTTGAAGGCAAAGAAGTGCCGCCGTCTTTGGTCGGTGTGGTGGGCTTGACAAATGCGCCACTTCCATTTAAGCAGTGCGTTCAATTGGTGTAAAGTTGGTGTGTTTCCACAGTTGTGTCAGCGACACACTATATTCTTTGAGCTGTAATGGATGAACAAACATTGCTCACACCGGACACAACAACATGACAATCGTTATCATAACTCATGTGTTATTCCATAAAATCGCATTGCAATCATGCGATTAGAGAAGAATTTGTAAGCGTATTAAAAGGAATGCCCTCAAATATTCACCAAGTGCATCCTATTTAAATTCAAAGTCCCTTATAAATCTTAGATTTAGCATTCAGTAACGTAACTTCGTCTATGATGGAGAATCAAATTTGAAAACGCTTGCAGAAAATTTTTTCAGCTGGTAACAGTTATCCTATATTTTAAGTTACTAAAGCTATAGAGAATGTAACACGTGAACAACATTTCCGTTTGTCGCCGCCACGTGATGACGATAGCTTACTCACGAGACTAAAATATGAAGCAGATCTGCTCTGATATATGTGCTAATGTTGGCGTTCGTGGACGTTGAAAAGGTCCGGCTTCCGTTAAAATTTCCCACCATAAACAAACTGCAAAGTACCATAGATTACTAATAAAATGAGGGGGGGTAATGTGTGTTATATCATATACACGTAAGGTGTGTATATATAGATAGATGTAAGATTTTAACTTGTCCTAAGACTGCTTGATGCCCTCTACAGGGTTGTATATTTTAGGCTTTGGCTCGACATACTTTTATATGCATTGAGATTCATGTATGGACTAAAATGAGGTCTAGTTCGACTATAAAGAACGGCATGCCTCAAAGGAATCTTTGAAATGGTGTGTGGGGGGGGGGCACTAAAACCTGTTTCATTTGTAGCGAGCCGGGGTTAAAACGTGTGGGAGCCTCATTCAGATAATGTAAGACTTAAGACGATCAGATTTAGTTCTAGATTGTCAATAGTGTTTCTTTGATTCTAGTAAACCTTCCCATCACCTTGCCCCCCACCCCCCGATCAAAATACGGCAAATCAGCTACTACGAAGACCAGCTGGTTTTAACAGTGTGCGTGTTGCTGCTGCCCGAGTTGAAAAAGAGAGCCAGTGTATTTGTAGTTCTCGATTGGTCATGACTTAATGCTCTTTAGCGTGGATAACCAGAGCAGCCGTACAGATTCACTGATCCGTATCGTAGAGGTAAGTAAATATGTCAACTTTGTGGGGCAAATATTTGTACCTGTTATATGTCTGTGAATAAATATGTTTTAATATAATCAAGGGTTTACAAAAACATTTGTGACATTTAAAGTCTAGAAACGCACACCCAATAATAATTTGATTCGAAGCCCCCTCTAAGAAGTATTTTTTCTCAACTATTTGTATTATTTTTAGAGGGGAAAAAAAACAGTCGAGTTTCAGCTGTGGAACCACAAACTTCCACAAAAATCTTGACAGGAATTATTGATATTGAAGCATAGGCATGAGGAGGAGATTGATCAAAATCCTATCATCTGAAATAAATTAAACTTGCACTTATTCAATCATTGTTCTTGTTTACGGAATGTGAAGAAGAAATACTCGTTTTTTTAACATTTATATGACTAATTGGTTATTTCAAATGTGACGGTTTATTTCAAATGGGACTGTTTATTTCAAATTTGACTGTTTATTTCAAATGGGACTGTTTATTTCAAATGGGACTGTTTATTTCAAATGGGACTGTTTATTTCAAATGGGACTGTTTATTTCAAATGGGACTGTTTATTTCAAATGGGACTGTTTATTTCAAATGGGACTGTTTATTTCAAATGGGACTGTTTATTTCAAATGGGACTGTTTATTTCAAATGGGACTGTTTATTTCAAATGGGACTGTTTATTTCAAATGGGACTGTTTATTTCAAATGGGACTGTTTATTTCAAATGGGACTGTTTATTTCAAATGGGACTGTTTATTTCAAATGGGACTGTTTATTTCAAATGGGACTGTTTATTTCAAATGGGACTGTTTATTTCAAATGGGACTGTTTATTTCAAATGGGACTGTTTATTTCAAATGGGACTGTTTATTTCAAATGGGACTGTTTATTTCAAATGGGACTGTTTATTTCAAATGGGACTGTTTATTTCAAATGGGACTGTTTATTTCAAATGGGACTGTTTATTTCAAATGGGACTGTTTATTTCAAATGGGACTGTTTATTTCAAATGGGACTGTTTATTTCAAATGGGACTGTTTATTTCAAATGGGACTATTTATTTCAAATGGGACTATTTATTTCAAATGGGACTAATTAGTTATTTCATATGGGACTATTTCTTTTAAATTAGACTAATTAGTTATTTCAAATGTGACTGATTTTTTATTTCAAATGTGACTATTTATTTCAAACTAGAATAAATGACCCGATTTTATCGGGATAATAATGGTAGGTCCTTTGCGATAATTTCTAACTTCTAATACAAAAACTCATCCCAATTCTTAACTTTAAAAATGTAATGATATTTACGTTTCTAACATTAAGTTTTGAGAAGTGTTTATCTGCTATATATGATACGCGTATCCAACAACCTTTCACGCTCCTAAACTACGTTTTCTTCTCTAAACATGACCTTAAATTACCCAGTCTAAATTATCACTAGTTATATCACTTTTGTCACTAAAGAAATCAATTGTATGACATTTACTACGCTAGAGAAATAATTTAGATTTACCCCTTTTCTTGCTCTTGAATTACAACTTTTTCTCTCAAAATCTTTTAATAGCTAATCTAAAATTTACAACAAAAATTGTATATATGATATAAATATATTTTGTATTACAGCAATTCGATTTATATTGATATCTTCATAAAAAATTTACACATATTTTTGCCTTTTTAAAAAAGTATACACTATCAGAAAATCGTAACACAAAGAATTCTTTATCTAAGGAGAATCTCGCAACTGTTTTTTACGCCTATATCAGATTTTACTGTCTTTAACAAAAATTAAATTATTGCTCTCATAAAAATACACACCTCTTTACTTTTTGCAAAGGAACAACCAAATATATTTTCATTTTTTTTTAAAGAAACATTAACCCATCTTCATTTGTATAAAATTAATTTTTAAGTGTGTAAAATGATTCGGTTTTGAGATTCATTGATATGCTTATATAAAAGTACACAAGATTTATGAACGCCATTGATTTTCTTAATTTGTAAATATAAGTTTATTTGCAAAAAGAGAATTTAACATATCTTTTTTTACAAAAATAATACCATAGGATTTAAAGATATTGTCATCCACTTAAAAATGTACACATCCTTTTTCCTATCTCCGATATGTATGCACCCAAGAAGGCTTACTATTAATTAAATAAATTCCTTTATTTTGGGACGTATCTTGTATTGCCTTGGGCAAAATGAACATACCAATTATTATTAAAAATAGAATATAACATCTCTTTGTTCACAAATTTTAATGTGATACCAAAGAATTTAAATATATTGTCATCCACATAAAAGTGTACACATCGTATTTCCTACCTCCGATATTAATGTAACCAAGAAAATTAATTATTTATCATATTCAGTCCTTCATTGTGAGGGTTATCTTGTGCTGCCTTGAGCAAAATGAACTTACACATATTTGTAAAAAGAGAATGTAACATCTCTTTTTTCACAAATGTAATACCATAAGATTTAAGTAAATTGTCAACCACGTAAGAATGTAAACATCCTTTTCCTATCTCCGATTTGTATGTACCCAGGAAGGTTTATTATTAATCAAATTAATTCCTTTATTTTAAGACGTATCTTGTATGTCCTTGGGCAAAATGAACATACCAAAATTTTTTTAAAAAAAGAATGCATATTCTCTTTTTTTCACAAATGTAATACCATAGGATTTAAATACATTGTCATCCACGTAAAAATGTACACATCCTATTTACTACATCCAAAATATATCTACCCAAGAAGATTAATTATTTATAATTAACATTTTTTTTTTAATTTTTGACGTATCTTTTGCTGCCTTGGACAAAATGAACATACCAATGTTTGTAAAAAGGGAATGTAGCATATCTTTTTTCACAAATGTGATACAATAGGATTTAAATATATTGTCATTCACGTAAAAATGTACACATCCTACTTCCTACCTCCGATATGTATGTACCCAAGAAGGTTAATTATTTATAGTAATCATTTTTTTTTATTTTGAGAGTTATCTTGTTCTGATGTGAGCAAAATTAACATACACATATTTGTAAAAAGAGAATGCAGATTCTCTTTTTTCACAAATGTAATATCATAAGATTTAAATATATTGTCATCCACGTAAAAATGTACTCACCCTTTTTCCTATTTCCGATTTTTATGTACCCAAGAAGGTTAATTATTAATCAAATAAATTACTTTATTTTGAGACGTATCTTGTATTGCCTTAGGCAAAATGAACATACTCATATATTATTAAAAAGAAAATGCAAAATCTATTATTCACAAAAGTAATACCATAGGATTTAAATATTTTTTCATCCTCGTAAAAATGTACATATCCCGTTTCCTACCTCTGATATGTATGTACCTATGAAGGTTAATTATTTATCAAAATCATTCCTTTATTTTGAGACGAATCTTGTGCTGCCTGTGGCAAAGTTACCAACCACTCCCCCACCCAGATTTAAATAAATTTATAAAATGCTCCACCTGATTGTAGTCCATTCCATACCCGAATAACATCTTTAGCACTTCATATGGTTCGTTCTTATTTGTATGAGGTATAAGTGTATTAGTGAATGCTATTTAGCTATGGAGTTGCGCTGCACTCATTTACTTAAATCGCATTTTCTTATTAGAATTATATTTAAAGTTTAGTTTTTATTACGTTATAAATTTAATAGAAGTATATTTTTGGAATCAAAGCAGGCAAAACATTTTAAATGTAAAAATATACAAAGCAAAAATGTATGTTTCTGTTTTAATAACAATTTAAAAAGGAATCAATTGTATTTATTAATTTTACTTTTAAGAAGTAAAAATTCAAATTCAGGTTTGTCACTCGTGGTTAT